CTCTTCTTTCTTGGTTCCTTTATCCACCCCCTACCCCCCCGCACCCCCCTCCCCAACAGTCTGCCTGTTACATTTGAGGCTTTCCAAGCATTTAGCTTTATCAGTTTTCCCCCCATTTTCACTGGGCATCTCCTTCATTCCAAAAGTTTCAATATTACTCATTTTCCTGACAATTTCCACATGTACCCTATTTCTCTCCTAAATTCCAAACGTGAACTTCTAATTGTCTATTGTACACCTGACCTGGGAGTCTTACAAGCCAATGCTTCAGAGTGCTCCCAAGGTGACTTCCTCTGTACCCTCCAGGTATCTTCTAGGTCTTGGCTGCAGTCACCAAAAGGAAGCCACCCTGATCCCCTCAGTAAATGCATTGCTCCCGGCTCTTCTCCAGCTACTCTATCCTCTTACTTCCACAGCACACACCATTCTCTGAAATTATCTTATTGATTTGCCTTTCCACTGCTTGCCCCTGTCTCTCCTCTTGAAGACAAGTTCCACCAAGACAGGCCAGTGACTTGTTCCCTGACGTAAGGCTGGGGGCCTACAAGCCCATTAGGAACCTAGCAAGACAGACGTGTGTGGAATGAACGAACAAATGTGCTCTCTTAAGAAGGAAAGGTCCTGCTGTTGAACTAAGAATCAAGTCACACATTTCAAGCTGAATAGTTCTGTTTGACTAGGAGGTGTTCCTTCCCCAACCTACTCCTTCTAATTCAGTCCATTCATTTTCATAAACAGATTATTTGTGAATTACACTTAGAGCTCTGGAAAGAGAATCTTAATGGCAAATGAGTTCCACCCCCAACACTTACCACCTTCTCACCGGATGGATGCCTGACAAGTCTGCATGACACCACAGTCTTAAGCACCAAGGTCTGACTGGGTTCGGGGGACGCTGAGAGAGGAGTACCCTCTAGCTGCCACCTCAGAGACTTTCAGGGTTAAAGAGGCTCAGGTTTGTCCCTTCCCCACCCATCGTGGCACACGTGGATATTTCACACACATCCTCTCCAATTCATCTCCCTTTACCGAGGGGGCTTAGGACAGTTCTGGGGCGCTAGCTTGTCCCAGTGTCTGGACAGAGAGCTCTGGGCCTAGGCTCAAAGGCTTCCAAGCTCCAGCTCCATCCATCTGCACTGCTCTATGGCCTAGCTGCCTCCGAGAAGCCTCGGGATCTTTTCGGTAAACAAAACTTGAAGCCTGCCCCGAAGGAATCAGGAAGCAGCGCAAATGGGAAGACAGACAGAGGAGCCCGCGGGGGGTCTTCGCAGACCCGCGGGTGGGGAGGGGTCGGATCGGATCGCGGTGGGGCGGGGGCCGCCTGGGCTGGAGGACACCAGCGATCCCCGCCAGCTCCAAGAACAAAGCCACTGGTCTGCTCTCACCGGACCGCGCACACCCGGCACCGCATCTGCGAGGGAGGGTGCCCAGGGGGAGGGTGGGAAGGGGGAGCACCCGGCCGGGCCCCGAAATCGGAGTTTGCATTTACCACGACGCCTCGCCCGTAATCTGGCGCCTCGTCGCTGCTCCGGGCCATGGTTCTCCCGGGGAACGCGGGAAGGACAGTCGCGCGCGGGAAGCCTGCGGTGGGGGATGGGACGTGGGAACGCCGAC